CTTCGGGATTATTCAGATCAATGTTATCGGGGATTGATTTGTATCCGAAATAGTCGTTCGACGCCATCACCTGAGGATCCAATACCTCTTCGGCGGGTTTCAAATTGAAGTCCACTCGCATGGCTTCAGGCTTATCGTTGCGCACGACTACAGTCTTGGCGTCGGGTTCGTAGCCGTCCTTCGCGGCCAACACTTCGTACGTTCCCGACGTTAACAGTCGCCAGTATTCGCCATTTTTCACTAAATAGAGATAATAACTGTTATATCAGTAATGTATTGGTTATATACAGTATAAACACCTGAGAGAATGTCATGGTTAATCATTTTGTTGACACCATCGGTAATATTCTTGACTTTAACGGAAGCGCCGGCAATAGGCTCTCCAGTTCTCGCATTCCTTACGATTCCTTTTATACCTAAATGTGACTATTTTTCAAAGAAAATTATTTATTCACTGTCTCTCGCTATCAATACATTTCAAACAGACCTGTCTTATATAAGTTATAAGCGCCTCGCGATTGTTATCCCATTCGATGGGCAGCAAGTGTTCCGGTGGGTATTTATCACATCCTAACTCCAGAGTTATCTCGAAGTCATTTGATCCCAAATAGTTGAAGTCCTGCATCCCGCCGGACACGCTATACCAGGCGGCGCCGTTCGTGATGCCGCCCTGTTTGGTGAAGTCGTCATCGTTCTCACACCGGACCCCTTTCCCCGTCGACATAGTCTTGTGCGCCAACGCGTATACATTCGCCAAATGCCTATCAATTCAGAGTTTTAGTCATGTATTTGAAATTGAAATTAAGTGTCAATTACTTGAATGTGCTGTCGTCTGGAGAAGCCGTATACGATGTGGCACTTCCATCGCGACTCTCATCGTACGGATAGTTAGCCACAAGAGCTCCTCCGTGCAAATTAGCCGACAATACGAAAGGATTGGACAGAATCCAAGCCATGGCCGCTCTGGTCTCGGGCTGTAGTTTATGATCTATGGCTTCCTGAGAGAACAGATTTGCTGTTTGGGAGTTATCCTGATATGCGACGGCATCCAAGTCAGGGAAGTCTCTGTTCAGGTCAACCCCATTGCCATTAGCGCGACCTAACAGCCAGTCCTTGCCTCTGGACTCGTGATTAGTGGAGGCGTCCCAACCGTCCGGATTCAGTGACGGCAACAGATGTATTCGCGTCGTGTTTATTAGGGTTTGGATTCTTTGGTTCCCTTTATTGTATTCATTACACATATGATCGGCTAATTGAAGCAACAATTCTCGGCCCAACACTTCATTCCCGTGCATATTACCCACGTATTTGAACTCAGGCTCCACTGATCACATATAAAGGGGGGACAGTTGGTTTTTGTTGTAATTATACCGAAACTTTAGTGACTAGAACTTACGGAAGTCATGATCTCCGGGATTGTCAGACAACTCGATGACAGTCAGTGGCCATCCGTTGACACTGCGTTCTGTCAACTCGTATAACCTGGTGATAGTGGGGCAGCGCTTATGCACCGCTTGTAACACATCATTCAACTCCTGGTTATTGTGGTGTTTGACCCGATACTCGGAGTCACTTAAACACAAATTAAAGCATATATTGACCGAAAAGACAAAAATAAAGACGAGACACGGATTTCTCATAATTTTCTATGAATTAGTCAAACAATATGTCCCGAAATATGTCTCCGTCTTTACTATCATCGATGACAACGGAATCGATCGATAACTCAATCCATTGACGCAAACCATCGCTCGCTTCTGCGTCCTCTTAGCCCTTCATCTCTCGCAACAGAATTCACATTCAATTCATTGAAGGATTCGTTGAAAAATCGATATTCGAGTTAAAACTCTGTTATAACAGCAATCCTATGATAGACTATGGGGTCATTTGACTGTAAAATGGGTTTCAATGACTGCGCTTATAATTAATTTGAGGTTAAGTTAGCAAGCAATTACATAATTTGTATGAAATTAGGCACACATTGTATAACGATTATCAAAAAATATATTATAAAACAAAATAAAACCAAAAATACATTATTAAATAAAAGAAATACAGATTAAACAATAAATAAAATAAAACAAAATACATTATAAAAATCAGATCAAACACTTGAATGTAAATCACATTTTAAATCAAATTTAATTTGTTATCAGTTAATTCTGTTAATGAGTTACAAATTATTAGTGAATATATTATAATTAATTATACATTACATTAGAATAGATTGCGATTACGATTAGAACGACGAGAATATTTATAATTTATATTATAATTTGATATAAAATAAGTTGCTTTTAATTAATGGCGAGGTTTACGCGGAATCGCTTTTCCCATTCATTCTTCTAATGTCTGTTTATGTCACTCAAAGTCAATGCCATTTAGCCTTTTGTGCGAATATATCCGCCCTTAGGTTTTGGGCAAAACATATGCCCAGAATCTAAACACATTGAAAACCATTTGTTAATTGTTATGCAATTATACGATACATTGCTTTCGATTCTGAGGATTTGCTTGAAAACAACAGAGAAACTAATGGTTCAACCGATGGCTTACTTGAGTGAAGGACAGGCCTAACATGAATAGCAATACAATTAACAGATTTCGTTGAAACCACTCTTCGGCCGCTCGCAGGCATCCCTTTTCATAGATATGGTGTTCACTGTATTTCTGGTGTATGTGTCGGTAAAAGTTTGGGTCAATTTTATACTCATTTCGTTTGATTGAAAAGTTAAACCAATTTAGACACCAATTAAACACCAAATGGTTAGCAAATCCCCAAAATTAGAGCACAACCTCTTAAGACAGATCCCATACCTGTAGGACCGCAATAACAACTGTAAAGCCCGCCACCGGAACCAAATTAGACTCAATCCATTCCTCTCCAGCCCTCAAACATCCCTTTTCATAGATCACTATAGACTTATCCCCGACCTGTCAGTCCGTGCGATACGATTACAAGTGTTAATACAAATACTTATCATTCAATTCATTAGAGATCAAAGAGAAGCGACGATTTGTTAGTGAAATAGAGAGAGAGATTCAAATCAATTGCTCACGAATTCATGTTTGCGGACATCATATCCGCACTGTTTATTGCGAATGATTTCGTTGGGAATGGGACGACAGCACGAGAAGGGGACGCCACAGGCCTCACGACTGCCCACCGCCGCCGACGAGCAGTTGAAGTATATGTTTTGGTCCCAGTCTTCGGCACACAAACACAACAATTACTATCAATTCACACCATCATTGCATACGAATTACCTTTAGGTCCGTCGACACCACAACAGCCCAACCACTGGTCCTGAACCCAATCCACGAGATTCTGACGGTCCGGATCGTCCCTATAGTACACTATGAACGCCTGGAAGCCAGTGGCCGCTTGGGTTTTGATCTGTAATTAGACGCCAATTAATCGGTCGCTCGAAGAGTCCGAAGGGTTTTGTGGCGACAAACAAAAAACGGATCCAAAACTGACCCAATCCTTGAAGACGAAGCCCAGAATACCGGTCGTCATCTCCAGGAGTAACAAAATGGCCAAAAAGATAGCGTACTATACGGGCGGAAAAGACAACGGATTAGTGATTCAGTGATCAATGGATTCAATGGATGTCTGGATGTCGTACACCCGCCAGAAGACATGTGTTCTCTCTGAGAGCGCCCACACATCCCGTGAAGCCAATGGTGAAGGCGAGACACCCGACGCAGATCATGATGAAGGCCGGGTCGAGCGCTATGTTCGTGATTCGGGTCAAGTTGTGGAACACCTCCTTCTCAGTCCACGCCCACACGCCCACCACTCCCACCAACAGACCCGTCAACCAGAACACCACATTCGAGCCGAAGATCAGGTACTTCAGGCAACAGCTTATTTCGGACGAGTCGTGGCGGTGGTGGTGCCGATCGTGTCGGCGCTGTTCGTGTCGACGGCGCTCTTCGTGGCGCCGATGGGTGTCTGCGGCGACGGCGGCCGACGACGACCTCTGGCTGTGCGACGACGCCTGGTATCGACTCGCGGCCACCGATGAGGACATCGGGTGAGACATGGCTTCCTCTCGAGGCTGTGTCTGTCCTCCTGAGCCGCCAATTAGCCTAACAATTGGTTTACAAGCGATTAAGTGCGGGATGTCTTCGTCAACAACACATCGGTGGCCAACACTTCATAGTCTTTGAGCGAAATGAAAGGTTTGCTTTCATTTGGTCTCAGATATCATGGATTGGTCTCCGATTTCACGACTCTTTCTGTAAACACAAAACAAACACTAATTTGTTGTCAGATTTGAGCGAAAACTAAGCATTCATTCAGCGATTGAATGAAACAAACGATTCATTGACTCATCAATTGGTGGATAGAGTCCTGTGTTTACGTTGTATTCACTCTAACCTACAGTCAAACCTCGTTATTATGGCCACCACTGGACACATCCCTGTGCGCTATGGTTTGCATGCTGTCAATGTCTGTCTTATGCTGTTATTCACGAGTCAATTGTCACTTAAGATGTGTTTATTTAAAGCGTTCAAATAAATGAATTCATTAATCAATTGAAAGATTGACACAAAAGATGTGAAGTTTGAGCTATAATTGAGTTCAATCTCTCGTATATTGTGCTGAAGTGAGTGTTTGGCACACATTTACGAGACGTGACTCCCATATGATTACTATTACTGACTCCCAATGCGCTCACAATACATGTGTTGAACAATGCGTTTAAAGGTCTGTGACGTCAGGCGTGCCTTTCGATGCATTCAATTGTATGCATATTCTGTAGGAATTATAATGCATTCAATGCTTAGTAACACAATATATATGAAGATTCTATCAATTTATTGTAAATTTAAAGTAATTTTAAATTCATGTAACATAAATTATTTGTAGAATAAATTATAATTTTAAATATAAAATTATATTCAATTTATAAGTATTACCAGAATTAAATAATAGGTCCAAATAGGCAAACAAATTCGTGATTCATTATAATTACAGTAGTATAATGTTAACAGAATATTTTGATAGCATATTACTATAATCATTGTGTATGAATGGGTGTATGCTTGCTACTTTTGTAGACTTAAATGATTTACTTATCAATGAGTAGCTATTAAATTAGTTATGACTAAATCTATGTTCACAATTTGATTGAGTTTTGAGTATCCGTTGAGCAATACTATGACTTCAGACAACTGTTCCATACTTTTGAAAACTTTTCAAATCTTCAAAAGTTTGACTTTTCTGTCACCAAACGATTCGCAACCGATTCTCACGAAGTATTTGACATCAATTGCCTCGAGAAGTGCCGACAATTGTCTTACTTGTCTCTGAGCAACGAAGTGTCTTTATTTGCTAAAAAAAGGGTTTAAATATAAAAAATAATTTTATATCAAATAGTCATTCAATTTGTTATTTCATTAATTGGGAATGAATGGGTGTGTGCTTGCTACTTTTTTAGGCATTTATTTCGCTATACTCTCAAAGATTAATTGAATTTTAGGCGATTAGACATAAATAGCAGTTTTGTTGTGCAAAACAGACAATTACTATGATTTATACGCAAATAAATACAAGTTTTCATTGAAAAACCAATTTTGCAAAACAAGTCATTTCTGAAGGCATTGTTTGATTGATAAGAGCTTTCAATATATGATTGATTAGAATAATAGGCAATAAATTATATACTTTTTTGATTAAATTATTACTCGATTTATATATAGTTTTTGAAAACTTTTGATGACATCTCAAACACATTTAGCTATTAATAAATTTTTTTGTTTAATTCATTGATAATGATTTCATTGAATTTCAAATCGTAAAAAGTATTTAAAAGTGTTTTTTATACCAAGTTTTGTGA